AAAAAAAAAAAAGTTTATTTATTTTTCGTTTGATTTTCAGCACTGAAAAGTTTTAATGAATTTTCAAGTTTTTCACTTGTTTTTAAAAATAGGAACTAAAATGATAAGGATAAGGAAATATATTGAAAGTTTTTTTTTTGTGCACTGTCATCACATCATCATCATCTTTATTATCATCGAATAATAATAATAATAATAATTGATGTATGGCAATGGCTTTCAAGCATTTTTGTTTTTCCTGTTATTCAATCTTGATGAAATTCATTGATTCTTAGGCAAGAATTTTCGGACTATTTTTTCGAGTGTGTGAGAGAGAGAGAGAGAGAGAGAGAGAGAGAGAGAGAGATTCCTTTTTGAAATAAATAAACAAAATTCTGTTTTACATTAGATTTTTGTTTTGTTTTTTATTTCTGATGCATTTGTTGTTTACGCATTCAATTTTCGTGAAACAAAAAAGTGAAACAAAAATCCAATTCGATGCATACATAATTTCATTGTTAACTTTTTACTTTCTTAATAATAGTATCTATTGTATACATTGTTGTTATCATTTCATTCATTTGCATATAAGTATTTAGTAAATGGAATTATTATTATTATTATTTTTTCTTCTCCGGACAATGCCAGAAATATATTGATAATGGTGATGTAACTTCTTCTTTTTTTTTGCTGATTCTACCAGGAAAAAAATTCATTGATTATTTATGATGCATTTTTGCATTGAAAATTCGTTCGTTCGATTGAAACATTAAGATGATAGACAAAACAAAAAACAATAGAAACACAATGGCAAAACAGGAAAACAAAAAACGTTTTATAGAAAAATTTCAGGAAATTTCAATATCAATGAGAGAAGAAAAAAAGAGTCATATCATCAATTTATTTTGTTGTAAATTATCATTTGAAATTAATCAAATTCAAATATTGGTTGATTGGTTGGTTGGTTAGATGAATAAAATTCTCTGGTAATTTATTCCTGTGTTAAGAGTGGAATGATTGATGAAAATTTTAGTGTGAAATTTGTCAAATGATGAATACAGTAGTCAGCAACAAGCAATTTTATTCCAAAACAAAAAAAAAAGGTTGGAAAAAAACTACTACTACTACTGCTGCAAAATACACTAAAAAGAAGTACTAAATTATTCAATTTGAAATACAAAAACGAAACAAAACGAAAGATTCTTTTATCTAAGATTTTGATTTTCTCATTCTCCATAAGTATAGTTTATTTTCTTAGATTAGTTTTAGGGTTATTTCTTGGCTACTGATTGATGTTGCAAAACATCCATATATAATAATGTGTGTGATGAGATGAATCTTTTGTTTGATTTTGATTTTTTTTTGTAACAGAGAAAAAAATACATTGTTTCATCATACAAAAGATTATTTAATAATAGAAACTGACTACTATAGTAAGAAAGAAAATAAAGTAAAATTAAAAAATAAGGCTGAATATAAACCAAGAAGAAGAATTTTATTATTGAGTAAAAAAAGAAAAGAAAAGAAAAGGGATTTTCAAGGATCTACACTTACACTTGCACACACAGAACATATTTGAATCTTTAAAATTTTTCTTTTTATGTGATGTGATATGGGTACCGAAAGCTTTTGTTTTGGAATTTTTTTTGTTTTTGTTTTTTTCTGGATTTTTCTTTCTTTTTCTATTTGACGACAATGATGATAAGATGATGATGACAATGATAAGATGATGATGATGACAAAATACCGTTGGTGAACTTCTTAACAATATTTTTTTTTTTACTGAAAGGAAGCAAAGTTGATGTATTCAATCTTCATTTTATTTTGAAAAATGTCGACAATGTATGTGTGCGACATTCATAGATTGAATCGAACAAACATATATTATTAGTGGAAAAACAAACCCGAATTTTTTGTTTCCGAATGACATTTGTTCTCTATGTTCAAATAGTCTATGTTCAAATAGTCTATGTTCAAATAGTCACTATAGTGTGCATGTTACTAGTTTCCTGTATGTCAATAAAAGATTAAAATCATTAGTCATTCGAATAGAATCGAGAAAAAAAAATTTAATTAAATCTTTTCAACAACAACAGAAAAAAATCTGATTATTAAAATCGATACGTCACATTTTTTGGACAATGAAAAAGTTAAGAAAAATTTTTTGATTTTTTTCAGTTGTTTAATCCTGTAAAATCATCTGGTTTTTTTTTGAAAAGACGAAGTACAGAAGAAGAAGAAACTGTAAATCAATTTTCTTATCAATATCAATTATATCAGGATGTTTTATTGATTTTTTTCGCTTTGGCCTTGTCTGACTGACCAAATATATGTTTAGGATTTCAATCTAACGATATATTGATTAAATTCAAACGATTTGATGATGTCAAACTAGCTGCTGACATGCTGTGTTGAACTACAATTCATTTGATTATTTTTTTTTTCGAAATCAATGTTACTAAATTCTCATTTAGACCTTTACTATGAAATAATTTCCGTAAAACCCAAACCAAACAAGATTAATGATCAAATTTTGTGTAGTTTTTTTGTCGGAAATAAAATGATGAATATTTTTGTAAGCAAGCAATTAAATGAATGAGTTGATTTACTCGCCAGGCATTGATGAGAAAAAAAAGAAAGAAAATCATTTCAAACATTTTAATCGATCATAGAATTTAATCAAGTTTTCACGCATCATTTTGAATATATTGCTTCAATCCTTTTTCTGGTCCTGGTCCTGTTTTTTTTTTGCTTTTGGCCATTGATTGAACGAATGATTTGCCAAACTGAATGACATATTCATTTGGTTAATTTGATTACCATTTTTTTTTCTTGTCTGGTTTGTTTGCTTGTCTGTGTTGAAATCCAATAATCAATTTGTGTTCTAACTAAATAAATTCTTCGAGTTCATTTGAAAAAAATAATCAATAAAATATGTTGAATTTTTTTTTGTAGGTAGAAAATTTTCCGGAAAATCTACTTTTTTTCTGAAAAACTTTATTTCCGGAAAGTTTTTTTTCCCTAATCTAATTGAAAGTAACAAGATTACAGATTCACCAAATTGAATATTTGTTTCCTGTCAGATTTGATTTTTGTTTTGTTGTTTCAAAAAATTTTCATTTTTTTGGAAATTCTTTTCCTTTTCCTTTGTTTCATATTTCAATTTCAATTTCAAAATTTGCTTGTTGAATTATACAATCCGGCAAAATCTTTTTTGAAGGCAAAATTTTTATTCATAGAATAAAGATGATTGAAAAATTCGCGGCAACTGATCACAAAATTTTGAAGAAATTAATTATTGAACGTGGATTTCTTTTGAATCGAACGAACGATCAATCGATTATTCAATCGATGATCAACATTTGCATTTTCATTTGAAAATAAAAATCAACATGCTGTATTTTCTAATAGTGTAATTTTGTTTTTCTCTTGCAATGTGGAATGAATTTCAGTTAATTCTATAGCGATTCGTTTACAAAATTCTACTTGAATCGACAATTTTCAACAACAACAACGAAAGAAAAAAAATTCAATTAAATTTCGTTTAATTTTCATTCAAACACAAACAAACACAAACACACTTTTATCCACTTTATACCCAAGTGAAAAATAAAACTGATAAATAAATCTATCAAAAACATTCAAAAAAAAAGGAAAATTTATTTGTTTGTTTTGGAACACTAAATAGAGAAAATAATAATAAAAACATTCAATTTACATTATCAGCTACTACCAGTTGGAACCCAAGATTTTCGGGAAAAATCTGACTTTTTCTGTTTTGTGTTGAAATTCTTCAAATCAAATCATTGACAGGCAAATCAATATCAACAATAAATACAGTGCAAAAAAAGAACGGCAATATCGAATATAAAATTATCAAGTAATAACGATGATAAAAATGAGAATCTTTATGGGGGAAAAAAAAATCTACAAATATATTACAATAGCCCAAAGCATTATAAACTATATAACTATATTAGATAGGTAATTTATTTTGATCAAAAAGAAGAATATTACATAAAAAACCAAACGGCGGTAAGTATAAAACTTATAATAAACTTGCCCTTTACTTTTGTTTTCTGATGAAATGATCAACAATAACAGCAACAACAACGAAGTGAAAAAATGAAAATTTTCATTGAAAAAAAAATTCAATTTTTTTTTTGATGATGAGTGTTACACACTTGACAATTTTCATAAAATGCAAATTTGGTAATGAAAATTTGAAAAAAAATATTTGTCATTTGAAATTAATTATCATTATTAAAATTAACAGACAGACAGAAAAAAGTCCTTACCGAAACCTGATGTATGATTATGGTGATTTTTTTTTTAAATTTATTTTTAATTTTTGTTTTTGTCACTGGCAATGATGCTTTTGTTCCAGAAACAAAAGCAAAAAAAAACAGAAGTTTTATAAATGCAACAATGATGCAACCATCAATAGACAATCACAGATTTTGAAGAGCAAACATACAAAAAAAAGAACCAAAGTTTCAACAGAATGTTGAAATTTTTTTTTGTCAAGTTGAAAAAAGCAAAGAAGAAAATTCAATTTCCCACACACACAAAGGAAAAATTGTAACAGAAAATTAAATTCAAATTGGAAACAAATTGATGCCCAAACAAACACTGGTTTGATTCAGAATTTTTTTAGGAAAAAAGAGTGTAGCAAACACACACACAGAGAGAGAGATAGCAGAAAACCCGTAGGATTGAAATTCGTTTTATTTTTTGGTTTGATTTGATTTTTTTTTTTGCCATTATTCTACAAACATTCGATGACGAGAATTCAGTGAATGAATGGGCATCTATTCCTTTTTTTTTATTATTGTTATTATAATGGTTTTCGGGTATCGTTTGGTGAACAATTTTTAGTTTTTGTTGAAAGCAGTTGCGCATCATCATTATTATCATCATCATCATTTTGAAACCAACCGAACAAACAAACCGTCTCAGTTTTCTTTCCAAAGAATGAAAAAAAAAATCCAAACCAAACTGAACATTTTATTTTATCATAAGGCGCGCGTTTCGCATTTCTAGTTTTGTTTGCACACACACACACACACATTGCACAACAAACAAAACAAAACAAAACAAAAACGGAAAAGGAAAAGCAATGAAAATGTTCAATTCAAAAACACAATTTTGATGAAATGAAAATAACGACGACTATGAGGAAATTTGTATTGAAAATATTCTCGAAAAATACAAACATTTAACATGTTTACTGTGTGCAAGTTTGTCGATAATGTCAGATAATAATAAATAGGAAATATGAATATGAACGATATTCAGTCAATATAAAATGACCATCAATTCAATTGATGGCCATGTTTTGCTGTTTTGTTTTTTGCGCCAAAAAGATATTCCCATAATTCATGTCCATATCTCACTGAATTTGTAACTTGTAACTTGTGTGAAAAATGAATGAAATGAAAAATTTTTCAACCTGAACTTTTGAAAAAAAATTCCCAAACACAGACACAGTTCAACCATTGGAAAAGATAAAATTTTTTTTTTCACACTATAAAAATCAATCAATCATTATAAATGTTGTGTTATTTCAAGAATTTTTATTTATTTATTTTTCGATTTTTTCAATGATAGAAATGAAGAGAAGGGAAAAAAGTTTATAGTTAGAATTTAGATTTGATAAAATGAATGAGAATGAATGTAAGAAGTGTGAAGAATTTCTCTTTGATTTCAGAATGTAACAATTTCATGTTGTTGGTATTTTTTGTTCCAGAAAATTATATAATTATAACTTTATGTCAGGAATCTGATGGTATGTGTGTGGATTTGTGTGAAAGTCATGGGATTGGAAAAAGAATTTTTTTTTTGGAACGAAATAAACAGAAAATTCAGAAAGAATGTTAAGTTGAATAGCGAAAGAAGAAGTAGAAATCACTCAACAACAACATGTTGTACAAGTTGTTTGAAAAAAATGTTTAAAAATTGTTTGTGCATAAGGTATATATGATAATGCATAACAAATGAATGATAAAAATTGTATTATACTAAATGTAATAGCCAATATTCCTTGTTTCCATTTTAATGCTGATAATAATGTTAAAAAAATTGATAATAATAAAATTGATGATGAAATCAATCTTGTTATTGTTAATATTGATTTTAATTGTTCCATTGGACCGACTAGAAACATGATGCTTTAAGAAAAAAAGATTTTTATATTTATATTATTATGGACATTGAATGACAAATGTATAGAAAATGGCACTTACCTAAATAAACATAATATGGTTGAAAATGTATAAAATGTTGCAAATGTTTTTAATGATAATAAAATCATTGTCCATGATAAAATTGTTAATAATAAACTTAATATAAGACAACCAAGAAATAATTTTATTCGTGTGTAAAATGATATCTCCGGGAATAGTGATTTATGCTATTTATTATCATCATCACCATCATCATATCATATTATAAATACGTCCAACAATTTGACATCGAATATTTTTTTCAGATCGACGAAATCCATGAAACCACATACATGAAACACACCATCATCACCACACATCGTTGTTGTTGTTGTTGTTGAGATAAATGTATTTTAACAAACAAACAACGAAAATGAAAAAAAATAAAACCGACATGATGATGATGACAGCCAACCAATTCAACCATTATACGATAAAGCCAAAAGAATTATAATAAGAAAAAAAGAAATGAAAAAAAAAGAAAATAAATTCGGGTAGTAAAAATGTGAATAAAAATATCATTATAGAATCTTTCTCTCATTCATTCTTTCTTTCACATCTTAGATATTTGTTTTGAGCAGAAGAAGAAGAAGAAGAATTTTCCAAGTATATATTTCGAAGAAGAGAAGAAAAAAAAAGGAAATGATCAGATGAAAATTATGACAACAGCAACGATAAAACAACAACAACAACGATAAAGAACATATAAATGGAAGAAAAGCGAGAAATAAAACAAAACCAGAATTGACCGCATTGAACTACAATAGATGTCAATGTTGTTGTTGTTGAATTCATAGATAAATGATTCAAATTTTGAACTAAAATTTATGGTTAGAAAAAGAGTCAATCATCATATTGTTCATTTCAATCATTCAATACATTTATATTCTTGATATAGATAGATAGGCTATTATATTTCGTTTAATTTAATGAACGTCGAATATAAAAAAACTGAAACTATTCTTGAGACTTTTGTTTCGAAAAATATATTGCTGTTGTTTTTTTTCTTCTTGTTGTTCGCACTTTATCCGCAGATAATAGGAAAAAATTCTTTTCAAACATTTCTATCCAATGATGATGATGATAAATGAATTGTTTCTACGGAAGCCAAACGATTATATTACAATTTTTTTTTCTTTTTGTTGTTTGGAGTGTGTGTGTTGAAATAGGGGCTAAAGATAGATGGAGATAGAAAAAACGAGAAACAAATATTTTGACCATTCGTTTTTCGTTTGAAAAGAAGAAAAGCAAAATAATTGGAATGATTAAAGTGTGTATAATATCATAGCAGCCATTATATTCATTTTTATTTAGCGGTCGTTGATAGTGAAAAGAATGAAATAAAAGATGGATAGATTGAGAGAGTGAGAGATGGAACAATGTCAAGAATTTTTTGATATTCTATATTAGCGATATCGAAATTATTATTCAATCAATTTTTTTTTTCGTATCATATTCGGTTATTGAAGTTTATCAAATTCATTTAGTTTTGATTTAGTTTTTTCATTCGTTCAATAAAATGAATCCAATTTGACGATTCAATCACAAACAAACAAACAAAATAAATCAATAAAGCAAAGGCAAAAAATGTAATAATGATAATAATAACATATAGTTACGGGTATTTCAATGTTGTTCAATGTTGTTGAATCCATTTTGTTGTTGCTGTTGAGAAAATTCTATTGAATCAAAATCAAATTTTTGAGAAAACGGAACAAAAAACTGCTGCTGATCTGGATGACAAAAACGATTTTTTTGGGTTCCAATTAATGATTTTCAAATGAAAAAAAACTCCCCACTTTCAAAAAAATAATTAATCTTTTTTCATCAAAAGTAATGATCATCATCGATTGATTGATTGATTTAAAAGAGAAAAATTTCTATGAATTGATTTGATACAATATCCATTGTTCAAAAATCTAATAAATTTTTTTTTTTTTTTTTTTTGATAACGTTCGAACGTTTGTGTATATCAAGGTAAGGATTCGAAAAATAAAAATCCCAGATATGCTGCCATCTGTTGATAGGATCCGCGGATTCCAAATAGATATATATCCCAAAACAAAATCCAACATCATCAACAACAACAACAACAAAACAAGAATCGTCGTATCATGCTTTCGAATCATTGAAGAAGAAGAAGAAGCAACCAAATCAGGCCAACGATAATTCCTCGTGTTCACTTTTTTTTTCATTCATTTAAATTCTAAATTTTCTCATGTATCCTATTCTATCAGTTTTTTCTCTTATCAATCGATTTGACTTTTTTAATTTGTTTGTTTGTTTTTCTATTGTAAATAATGATGAAAAATGATGATAATGAACAAAACAATCAACAACAACAACAACAACCATATGATGATAACATTGATGATGATAATTTTAAAGGAAAACTATTGCATTTATCTTGTCTTTGGAATAATCCGGAATTGTTAAGTGATTTACTTTTGGGTGATGAGGTTTGTTTACAAAAATAAAATAAAATCAATGTTTTCAAAAACATTTTTACCCAAAATTTTTTCCCCTTTATTTATTAATTTAGGCAGAAAATATTAATTCACAAGATTCAAAAGGTCGTACAGCATTACATGAAGCTGTTATATCGGATAGTTTAGAATGTGCTCGTCTTTTGTTGATGAATGGAGCCAATCCAAACATTCGATCATCGAATTTCGATTCCGAAACATCATCAAAAAGTTGTCTTCATCTAGCAGTACAAAAAGGAAATTTAGAAATGGTACGTTTATTGATTGAATTTAATGTTGATATATTTCTTCGTGATAATAATGGCATGACTGCAATCGATTTGGCAAAAAAAGAAAACCATGAAAATATTGTAAATGAATTGAAATCAGCCATAAATGATTATGAAATCAATCTTTATAAATCATTGGCTATTGCTGTACACAAAGGAGATGTACAATTGATGTCAGAGCTCATTTCCGATACAAGTTTAAAAATTGATACCAATACAAATCAATTTGATCAAGAACGAATTCGTTCTATTGTAAATTACTCATCAAATGGTTCGAATACATTATTGTTCAAGGCATGTCAAGAAGGTCATTTAGAAATTGTTAAAAAATTGATACATGCTGGCGCTGATGGCCGTGTACATCCGACAACAAAATATTCACCACTTTATATTGCATCCTATCACGGAAGACTTCATATATGTCAGATTCTATTGGAACATTTTCCTGAATTATCTGCCATTTATACGGTTGAACATTGGCTACCGATACACGCGGCTGCCATTAACAATCATCAGGAAATTGTACAACTTTTACTCAGTTATCCTTATCCGATTAAAGTTATGAGACCATTTCTAACGGATTCAGCACCAACAATTTCATCAAGACAAACAAATAGTTCTTCGAATTTTTCATCACAAACAACAACTAGAACCAATATAACTAAAATATCGAAAAATTCTTTGACTGAAAATAATTGTGATTGTCAATATGTGTATTGTATGCCTTTTGATTTGAATGCTCAAGATGTAGCTGGCCAATCGGTTTTATATCTAGCTACATTAGCTGGAAATCATTCATTAGTAAAATATTTGCTCAATTTACGGCTGAAATCGGTTATTTATGATGAAATGATAAACTTATGTTTTAATGATTCCTCATTCGATGAAGATGATTTTTTTGAAGATTGTATTAGTCGAAATAGTAGTACAAGTGATAGTAGTAGCAGTCCGGACATAACTGTGATCAGTTCTATTGATTCAAACAAATCTAGTCAACAAAAAAAAGATACTCAATTCAATATCAATGAAGTTAAAGCATTGAATGATCAATTTGATTTGGAAAAAAATTCATTCCGGAAACTAATGGGACATTTAATCGATAATACCAGCACAAATAAAAATACAAAAGATTTTGATATAAAAATTTATTCAATAAATCCTATAAAGATTGATATGTATTGTAATCATAATAGAGAAACATCATTACATTGTGCAGTACAAAAAAGACATTATTCTATTGCATCAATATTATTGGAAAATGGTTCGAATCCAAACAATCCTATAAATGTATTGACAACAAACCAATCGACTATTGTGACACGTGTATCACATTTCAATCATAATTTATTCAATCCAAAAATATCGATTTCAGAATCAGTAAAAGATTTGAAAATTATAAGTAATCAATTGATTGGTGAAGGTTCGAATAAAAGTGTGGACAAGAAATTTGAACTAAATGAATGTCGACATCGTTCAACAGCTCTTCGTGAAGCAATAAGAAATCGTGATAGAGCTATGGTTGAATTATTGCTTCGTTTTGGTGCTTGTGATAATCTTGATTCGGTTAGAGATTGTGAACAAGAAGAATGTGATCATAATTCAATGTCAGCATTAGAAATTGCATTTGCCAATCATGATTATCATTTTGTTTCAAAATTATTATCATTGAAAGCATTTTCAGATTCTGAATATAAAATAAATAAAAAATCATTCGATATAATTGGATCTAATTGTATGAATGCATTGAATCGTTTTCATATGATCAACAATTTAACTGTTAGTTCAATGTTTCCTACCAATCCGGTAATGGTCGATTGGCATTGTTTAAAAATTAATTCATTAGATGAATCATTTCATCGAAATTTATCACAATGGTTAATTGATTCGGCTTTAGTTTATAATGTTAAACTTAAATTAAGTCATATTCAAGATTCTGGTTCATGGAATACAGCATTAGCTGCCATCACAAGAATTGATCTATCCGAAAATGGTCTTACATCAGTACCATTAATGTTATTTACCGATCTGCCATCATTAAAAATATTAAATCTTTCCAAGAATAAATTACAAACTTTACCCGAAATGAAAATCATTTTAAAAGAAAAAGCAATTGATGATGAAAGTGTTTCAAATATTTTTCGTCATAAAGATGATTCTATTCCCACTGTTATTGTTAATGAATCAACACCAAAAACTTCTAAAACATTTTTATCCAGAATGCGTAAATCACAAAGTGTTACCAGTGCATTGTCATCAACATCATCATCAGGCATCAATATGAAACAAAATGTTAAAAATGTTAATAAATTCAATAAAATCGATGGTTCCGAATGTGTTTGGAATATGCCAAGTCTTGAAGAATTATATCTGCAAGATAATCAACTTGAATGTTTACCTTCATCATTATTTCAACAACCAGAATTAAAAATACTTGATCTTTCCAATAATAAATTACGTACTTTACCACCATTGTTTTGGTTTAGTCCAAAATTGAATGAATTAAATATTTCATTAAATCTTTTATGTGATCTTCCATCACCAGTAAATTGTTTGAATCAGATTACAATCGATTCACCATCAAGAAATTCTATTGTTAGTTCAATGTCCAAAAGTATTTCAACATCAAGTATTTCAAGCAATTTATCTATTTGTGATATAAAATTAGATATTGATGGCTCTGGTTGTTCACCAACAACGTCAACAACAACAGCAGCAGCAGCAGCAGCAGTAGGCAAAATGTCTCAAACAAATCTTATACCATTTGAATTGAATATTTTAAAACCATGGTCTGGTTGTGTTACCATTTTGAATGATTCATTTCATGAACAATTTGATACACAACAAAATGTAACAAACAATAAAGAATCATTACTTTCAATGGATGAAAATAAACATCATCCATATCATTTACCTTATTCAAGACAAGAATCATCAATTTCAAACAATAATTTGATAAAACAACATAGTAGTTGTTCATTAACACAACTTAATCTATCACATAATGGTTTTGAACATATACCATTTTTTCTTTCTTGTTTGGCCACAAGACTTACACATTTAAATATAAGCTATAATCGTTTAAAAACAGTTTTCGATCCAAATTATATTCTTGGTCATATTCCACTTAGTTTAAGACATTTAGATTTATCACATAATCAAATTGATAATTGGTATAATATTGATGATGATATTGATATGGATTCTGAATGTTCGGATGATTTATCCAATGGTGATATACGAACACTTTGTTTTCATAGCTTTTCAAGACAACAAAAATCATCATCATGTTTTTCACCAACACTTTCAACAACATCTACATCGATTGATAAATCTATTGGTTGTCCATATAAACAACATACTAAACTTGATAATCTTAAAACATTAATTTTATCCAATAATAATTTAAAAGAAATAATTGTAACACGTGAAGAATTAATTGAATGGATTGATTTTGAATTTGTTATCAATCAACAACAGCAACAACAACAACAACAAAAATCAAATGATTTTAGCAAAAATATATTCACTTTTAATTTATCATCAAGTTTTGGTGAACATAATCAACGAAATTCATCATCATCATCATCACATTTTTCAGCTCGATTATTATCGTCCAATTTTGGAAGTCAAGATGATCTTCATAAATCACCCAGTATGGAAGATATTAATTTAAATTATAAAGCTTCAAGATATGCAAAATTATTTTTTCCTAATCTTTCAATGTTAGATATAGCAAACAATCATATTGTACGTGTACCGAAAACCATATCATATTATTCACAATTATCAGTTTTAAATCTTAGCGGTAATATTGAATTAACATCATTACCACCAGAAATGGGATTACTTACTAAATTATGGAATCTTAATACTCGTAATTGTAATAATATTGAAGAACCAATTCGTTCAATGATCAATAGTAAATCATATAAAACCTGTGATATTATTAGCTATCTTAATTCAATATTAGAAAATTCAAAACCATATACACGTTTAAAATTAATGTTGGTCGGTTATCAAAATATTGGCAAAACATCATTGTTAGAACAACTTCGTCATGAAGGTACAACCAGAAGAAGTCGTGCTACACCTGATCATTGGGGTAAACGTATTGGTAACAAATCGATGCATATGAAAACACCAAAAGGTTCAACTTTGTCCACTGTTGGTGTTGATCTTTGTGAATGGACTTATGAACGAAAACCATTAAAAGGATCAAATGTTCGTGATCGAAGTTTATCACGTTCAAGACTTGTTCAAGCTAACAAAAATAACAATAACAATAAAAATGCTTTATTGAATAATAATTTAGGACCAATCACATTTAGAACATGGGATTTTGGTGGTCAACGTGAATATTATGCAACACATCAATATTTTCTTTCCAAACGTGCCATTTATTTAGTTGTTTGGAAAATAACCGACGGAGAGAAAGGTGTTACCGGGATACATAATTGGTTGGTGAATATTCAAAGTCGTGCACCAAATTCTCCGGTCATAATCGTTGGAACTCATTATGATTTGGTTAAAGAATTTTATCCACCTTTTTATGCAAATGAATTACAAAATATGATTTGTGATCGTTACATGTCTGATGCGGTTGATGCAGATAAACGTGGATTACCAAAAGTTGTTGCATCAGTTGAAGTTAGCATCAAAACAAGACATAATATTCGTTTATTGGCTAATATTATCTATGAAACTGCAAGTGAAATGCGTTCTCCTGGTGGAAAAGATCGACTTTTAGAACAAAAAGTTCCGGCTACTTATTTGGCATTGGAAGAAATTGTAAGCATCTTGGCCATAGAAAGAAAATCGGAAAATTTAGAGCCAGTTTTACATGCTGATCAATATCGACAAGAAATTGCTCGTATGATGAAAGAAAGATATGATTTAGCTTTTAGAGATTATTCAGAATTACAACAAGCTACTCGTTTTTTACATGAAAATGGTGTTCTTTTGCATTATGAAGATGCACATCTTAAAGATCTTTATTTTTTGGATCCTCAATGGTTATGTGATATTTTGGCACATGTTGTAACTATAAGAGAAATTAATCCTTTTGCTAAAAATGGTATGTAAAATTATCTATCTAACTAGCCTGAATTTTTCTAAAAAATTTTTCTAAAATCTGATTCCAGGCATAATGAAAACAGAACATTTGTTACAACTTTTCAAAAATACACAGAATGTACCAATGGATGTACAAAGTTATATACTTAGTCTTCTAAATAAATTCGAATTGGCTATTACTTGGGATAATAGAACATTATTAATACCGTCTCTACTTCCCACTGAAGAACAATTACGCGCCGGATATCTTGGATGGGACATTGCCGTATGTTTAATTATCCGTAACTTATATTTCAACATTTTTTTTCTGATATTTTAAATTATTTAGATTCCTTTACGATCCCGACTGAAAATTCGAACAAATCTTATGGCTAATGATTCTGAGAAAAAATCCATAAAATTCAATTTCAGTAATCAATTATTTTTTCAAGAATTCGCTGATTCATCCAATAGTAAAATCGGTTCTAATGATGATAAATTGGATACATTTCCTTTGTGTAAAGTTACCGCAATGGCTCGTCACAATCAATCGATTCATCGTATTCTTATTCTTTCTTATGTACCTTGTGGATTCTGGTCACGTTTAATAGCCAGAGTTTTAGCTGATGAATCAGTAATCGATATTGTTCGTTCATTTTATTCTCTACCATCGTATGCACACAATGATCCATTACTTATAGACTTTTTGAATAATGTCAAAACATTTTGGCATTGTTGGCAAACTGGTTTTGGCCTACGATATTTGGATACATTTTTATTACGAGTAAAAGAATTTTCATTGATCAACAATACGAATATAGAATCAAAGTTTGTATCAAGTTCGACCTGGAAAAATTATTCCTATCCATATGATTACAGTCGTATCAAATTCTATCTCAGTCAAAAGAAAGAATCTAATTTGAATGACAATAAACAAATTAAATCAAAATCATCTGAATGGTGTGAAATCGACATATCTTCACAAAGTTCTTCGTTGATTGAAATTTATCTACCAAATCAATCATTACAAGTAGAAACTTGTTATTATCAAGAGATGAAAATGGAAAATGAAAATCGTTTAATTAAAAACAGTTACACATTGGAACCAAATATGGAAATGTTGACAAAATTATTGGTTATTATTGTTGAACATATTGATACTTTGCTTGAAGATTGGTATCCTTCATTAGGTACTCGATTTATTCATACTTCTGATGGTCGATTTTTAATCACTCGTGTTGTACCATGTATATCATGTTTGCAAGCATTTTTGAGCAATCAAAACGAAACAAACAAAGACAAAGATTCGAACAAAAATAAAGAAATTTTATCACCAGACACCAGTGAAATTGATTCAAATTTGGTCGATTTTTATAAACTTGAAGTTAAAAAAGCAGCATTACAAGCCACAAATGTATCTGATCAACAAAATTCTGTTATTGTTTCGAAAGTCAAAACCGATAATAATAATGCATTATCTGAATTCAAATCAGAAAACAAAATTCAATATCATCGTGTGAATGCTTTCACTGTTGAAGAATGTATACTATCGGTTTATGAAGATACACGTCTTGAATGTTCAAATCACGGAAGAATTCGTATGGATAAAATTGGGCCAGATTTTGTTTTTCGTGATTTAAAAGTTGATTACAGAATTGAAAGTGATCAATTAAAATTTGGAAAACTTCTTGGTCGAGGATCGTTTGGTTTTGTATTTCGTGCTTATTATAAACCGATTCAGAAAAATTATCAAACAAAAAAAGAAGCAATAATTCCTTCTACAGTTTCTAATTCAACATTTTATTTGGAGAAAAATGATCAAAATTCTTACAATAAAGACTATGAAGTAGCATTGAAATTATTACAGCCAATCAAAATTGAACTTTGTTCGAAAGGAATTCGAAAAGCGGATGTAGAAGCATATACGGCTATGAAAACTAAATGGGAACGTGATCCTCTTCAATATTCTTGTAAAGCTTATTGTACTGCTCGAAATGAATTGAATATATTATTAAATCTTAAACATTCAAATATTGCATCGATAATTGGTATTTGTCCAAAACCTCTTGCTTTGGTACTTACATTGGCACCACATGGATCATTAGACATTCATACAAAAGCTTATCGTCGTTCTGGAGCTCGTATTTCTGCAATAATTTTACAGAAAACATTTCTACAGATTTCAAAAGCTTTAGAATATTTACATCAACAACACATTATCTATAGAGATCTGAAATCTGAGAATGTACTTGTGTGGTCATTTCCTCATCCATATGCCAATCATCCACATTCTTCTTCGTTTCGAATCATTAATCAGTCTACTCATTTTGGAAATGATGAAGTTCTTCTTAAATTAGCTGATTATGGAATCTCACGATCAGCTTTGCCAACTGGAACCAAAGGCTTTGGTGGAACTGAAGGTTTCATGGTAAGTGAAAATTTGAATTTTTGCAAACAGAATGATCCTGTATTTTTTTCAATTATAATAGGCTCCTGAAATAATGCTATTTAATGGCGAAGAAGAATACACAGAAAAAGTTGATTGTTTTTCGTTTGCTATGTTTATGTATGAATTGTCAACATTACGATTTCCATTCGAAGGACAAGAATTTGCAATACGTGAAAGTATTTTAGATGGAATACGCCCTGCTATCACTCAAAAAGACTTGGAACATCTTCCTGAATCATTTATTGATTTGATGACTCGTGCTTGGGCTCATGAACCAAGTGAAAGGCCTAACATGTCACAAATTGTTTCGATAATTTCAGCTCCTGAATTTTGTTCGCTTCGTGATGTGGCAACGTTGTCTGATAATAGTGCATTAATATGTGCTACAGGATTTCAGAAAAGTGACTTATTTGAAAATAATAACAGGAAAAAATTTGGTCTTTTGCTGAGCAAAATTGGCAAACAAATTGATTTTCTCGAAATCGATGGAAGCAAATGGAATCCAAATGGACAGCGACTTGTTTGTGAAAATTTAAACAAGCGCACAATAACCAGTTCTTGTATTGTGAATGGAAATCAACTTTGGCTTGGCGATTCTATGGGTTGTATCAATATCTATTGTTTTAATGATGATTTCAATCATCAAGATAATACATTTCAATTGCTATGTATGATAAAACTTGAATTTGAAAATCCTGCATCCGTAATTGCAATCAAATCGATTGTTTGGATAGAAAAAGTCGAACTAGTTATCATATGCTCAAATAATGGCGAAGTATGGCTAATAAATTTCCGAAACATTATGAAAAAATTAGAAACGACTATAGATTTAGACGTTACTTTAACATCTAGTTTTTTGGGTATCAAAAAAATTGATAACAATAACCTTCCTACTTTTTGTATCGCTAACGTAGCAATTAATTCTTCGAACAAAACTGTGAATAGTATTGATAAAGAAACGGGTACCTATTTTGATATCTGGTGTGGCCAAATTGAAGGCCAGATTGTAATATTAACATTGAAAAGTTCAACGTTTGAAATAGTGAGACAAACTACAATTGATCATTATATTGATAAACATTTTAATCAATTAAATGTTCCTATTGCTGAAAGAAATGATGTATTCATATTGGTTGGTACCAATAATCAACCAATCATTTTTTCTGTTTTATATTCAGGTTCGAAATATTTTATTTCATTCTAAATAAATCTTTCTAACATTTTCATTTTCATTTGCATTTAATTACTATTATAGGATATATAATTTATCAATGGGATGCTCAAAAGAAAATTATTAGCCACAAATTGGATTGTTCAAAATTGGCTCCTTGTTCGGAAAGTCTTATATCGATCAGTATTGAAGATCATCTTAAACGTAAGTGCATTTGATTTTTTTTCCTTTAATTTATTCATTTAATTTTCGCAATCATAAAAATAGCTGGAAATTGTAGAATCAGTGAGATAGCCATTGATGAAGACAACGATGAGATTTATGTTGGTACTAATTTTGGTTGTATTATTGTTGCCGAACTAAGATCATTAAAACCAATTACTGTATTTCGTCCTTATCAACGTGAAGTAAAATTTATAATTACATTGAATAATCATGGCAATAAAATACATGCAATGATAAATTCAACGAATAATGATAATGAAACTAACGATAATCATGAACCGCATAGCAATAAAGAAGAAATTCGAAATAAAGATTTTTCATTATCATCTATTAAAAATATTTGGCCATTCAATAAATCGATTACTAATAGTCAAACAAATCCAACAGCTGACAATAAAAAAACGTCGATAAAACCATCATCGAATGATGACAAATTGAAAAATATTTTACCAAAAAAGAAAGACATTAAACCATTTGTTACAATTGGACGAGGTTATCGAAATTTATTGGATAGATTTACTTGTTCTTCGAATCATCATGATTCTCCAAGAAATAATGTTCAAAGTGATTCAAACAAACACATTAAACTAAAATATGCCAGTCAATTTCATGCCATTATCTGGGATTCTGGATTTTGGAATTTTTCTTAATTTTTTTTTCTTATTGTCCAGAAAAAATACTTGCAATTTTTTTTCACTCAACACTCACACTTGTTATTGATTCATTTTTTTTTATTGTTTTTTTTTCAGTTTTTATTGAAATTTAAATTTATTTTTTTCTTTAAATTACATAAAAAAATTACTATTTTATTTACAACGGAAAAAAAAGAAAACATAACAGTTTTTTTTCAGGACAAAAATACTGCATAATTATCGCCATAATTGATCAATTATTTCGAAAAATATTCATAATTTTTGATTACAAAAATTGCATTTTTGAAAAAATCAAATTTAACAACATCAACAGCAACAACAAACAAACAAACAAATTCAACGTTTTTTTTCTCATTTCAATTGAAAGAATTCTTACAAAAATAAATACATGTATAATAATGAAAAATAAATATTCAAAAGGAAAAAAAAAATTCATTTAGATATGACTCAAACAAAACAAAAAAAAAATCAAGATAAAGAGAAAATTAATTTTCTATATATCATAATATTAATGACTGTTTTTTTTTAAATATCTGTGATTAAATTTTCTTGGCTATCATTTTTGTTTTTTTCGTTCAAATTTGATTACCGTAAGTCACTACTATTATTATCAGTTTGTTTGTTTTGGTTTGCAGGAACGGTTCCAGACCACCTACTATCCCAATGAAGATTATAATCAAAATAATGATATGATGATTGATTCATATCATTACGATTTAATATTATATCTGGATCTTGTTGTATTCTTTGTGTCGGCCTATTTGTTGGTCTTCCTGGTAGATATGATTGTAATCGTTGTCTAGATGGATGTTCTTCATAATATCTATTATAAGACATTGGCGGTACGAATCGATTGTTTTGTTGTTGCTGTTGATGATTATGATTGAAAAGTGATGGTGGTAGAATATTTCTATTCAAACGTTCTTCATTTATTTTTATTTGACGATTATTTTTGATATTTCTTTTGGATTCATTTCTTACAGTATCATTACTTTTACTTCTTGTTATAAACATTTTCGATCCATTTTGTTCCATACTATCGCTTAAATAACCATCATTAATATGATGATTTTCAATCATTTTTTGTGGTTGTTTTCTTACTATCATATCAACATTATCATTTTTTGATTCAGTAGCTTTCCAACTACTTTCACTACATTCTTCAGCACTTGTTCCAAGTCCAAGATCTCTTTCAGCTACTACACTACTGTCCGAAAGACTTTTGGATCCTTCAACGCTAAATTCATCCACTATTCTTGGTCCACGATTTCGTTTAATATTATCAACAGTTTGATTTTCATTATTACATGCAAGATTTATGTATGAAGGTCGTGGAATATATATTGGACCACCATTTTTATGTACAATAGTTTTTCCATCAAAAAATTTTTCTGCTGTAAAAAATGGTAACTCTTTATGCATTGTTTGTAAATTTGTTGGCTTAAAATGATATGGTTGTGGAATTTCTCCTGATAAATGTAATGATTTGTTGTCTGTTGATTGATCTCTTGGCAATAATTTTGGTGGTTGTCGACAAATATCGGTTAATGAAAGTAGTACGGGTAACAGAAGTATACCATGAGTAGCACCGAATAACATAACAAGAAAAACGGTTTTGAAAAATGTTACAAATACATATGAAGGTGCAAATGCTAATGCAATTATACCAAGAACAGTTGAAACACTGCCCTGAAAAATTGGTAATCCAAGCGAATAAAGAGCCGATTTGACTCTTTCACTGGGTGTTCGTTCATTACAAGAAATATATGCATAGGAAATATGTGCAGAAAAATCAACAGAAAATCCTATACACATAATTAAATTGATCATTGATATTGAATCTAGATTAACATTCCATAGTGTCATGTAACCGATGACGCCAATTTCAATGGATATAATTGAAAATGCGACCCAAATAGCACATGATGGTGATGGAATGAATATTAATGAAATGGCCATCATTACTATTGCAGCAACAGTTATAGTTTGAATTGATATACTACGAACCAAAACAAATTGATCAAAAAATATAAAATAATGATGATAAATAGTAACGTGATAAGGAAAACTATCTGCAATTCCACGCAATGCAATTAACATTTCTTTTTCCATATTAGCATCAAGAATATTTTTAACTTGAATTATATATCTTGATGCTATAACTTCAGAACCATCTTCATTGAAAACAACATCATAACGAAATTGTTCAGTTAATGGAAAATGAAGAAAAATATCACGTAATCCTCGATAAAAATCCGAAGGATCGGATAAATTTAAAGCCTAGATAGTTTCGAAAAAAAATTAGTTTAGAATTAGCTAAGTGTTGTTGTTGTTGTTGTAATGAAACATACCTGAAGAAAAAGAAAACTATCATCTTGATTTAGAAATGTTAAATATGAACGAAGCCATGATTCAGTCATCGATCTATCCGATACATAAGGACTATCTTCAAATCTTTGCAGCATTTCTTCAATTTGTTGTTGAATTTTTGGATCAGCATAATTCATTGTTTCATTGACAACCACCTGTATTCGATATGGATATTCACGAAAATATTTATCCTCAAAATCATAAAATTGTATTGAATATGAATCATCTCTTGATAATTTTCTTCTATCTAAACCTTCTTTTATAACACTACAACCATAAATACCAATACAAAGATAGATAAGAAATACACCAATAACCAAAAGTTTAACCAATGGTCGATTTAATGATTCAGCCAATACATCACGAAAAAATATCATCATCATATGTTCTTTATTATCTTTAGGATTATCCGGATCATTTGGATTACGGCCTCCAGTACAAAATAAACGGAAGAAAAAACCTTTATCCTCTGTTTGAATGATTAGATGAAACAAAAATAATAATAATGATTTTTTTTCGTTAGAAAATTAATCGATAATTATAATCCTATCAATTATTATCAAGATAATCCCCTCCCTCCAAAAAAACGAACTAAATGAATAAATGAAAAAAAAAATATATATGTCAATACCTGCAAGCGATTTAGGCAATACCGGTATACAAATTAGACCATGAAGATTACGTTGTTCAACTGTACCAAAATAAGCCATAAGACCGCCAAAAAATGTTATATGATAAACATAGGTAAATAAAACAGCTACCGAAGTATAGATACAAAATATTCGAACCTGTGTGTGTAGAGAGAGAGAGAGAGAGATAGAAAAAAAGGTCAATTATTGATTAATAATGTTGGGGAATTTTTTTTTAAAATGTAATGATTAAAAGGCAGTTCATCATCATCATCATCATATTCATTGGATTTTATGCTAATTCAACAACAACAACAACAAAAAGAATTATGGTAGATAACAAAACAATAATGAAATTTTTGTTTTTGTTTTGCTCCATATTGTTTATCTAGCTTCGTAGAGAAACGTGCATAGAAAAAAATAAAAAATAAACAAATCAAAAAGTGTATCATGATGAAGAAGAAAAAAAATTAAATGAACTTTAACAAAACTTAAGCGAAATAGAGAAAACTTGTATGAAATATCAAGCTAATCAGACTAATAGGTGATTTCGAATAATAAACAAACAAACAAACAAGTTGTAATGATTAAGGATAGATTAACAAAAAAGGATTTATAAAGTCAATTGGAAAAATAAATCGAAAAATCAATCAATCAATAATATTACCGATGGAAAAGGAGTTATAATGCCAATCATAAATGAAATAAAATTGGTCAACGATGTAATTGTAATCGATACAGCTGCTTCCGCATATGTATGACTTAATCGTTTTGGTACACTCATTGTTGGATTGGTTCGTCTCCATGCAGCCAATAATACGAATGCATCATCCATACCGACACCTGTAAAGTAGAGGAAAAAGAAAAAGATTAAATAAAAAAAAATTATTGACAATCATTAGGCATCGAGAAAGAGAAAAAAAATGTCATAATTTGATTTCTGGGTCATTTATTTCTGGAGAAAATATTTTTTGTTCTTGAAAAATCATCTATTTTTTTTTATTAAAAATCAATATATTTTTGGTTTGTTTATCTCCTTGTGTATGTAAGTAATATTTAACCCAAATAGCCAATTCATTTAAGATTTTTTTTTTTTAATATTGGAAATTGCGGTTAAACAAACAAGGTCAGTAATGATGTTAATTTTTTTTTCGATTGCGAACTCAGACAATGTCTGACTAGTGTTTGACTTTATCTTCGAAATTATTAGCCAAAAAATGTTTCTACAAATAGCTTTCAAGTATCATCTTGATGAGAGAAGAAAAAAAAATGGTAATGAAGATGAATTTTCAAACCAAAAATAGTAATTTTTTTTTCAATGATCATCATCATCATCAGATTATGGAATCATCGAATGAATGAACATCAACAACAACAACATTATCATTACATTCATTTAGTATTCAATTTTGATTTTGACTTTCGATTCATCATCTTATATCTGATTTTCTATTTTGTTTTAATTAGTAAATAATCAAGATCGATGGTTATTTGTAAAGTTTTACCTAGCCTATTTATAAATGATTTTTGATTTTTCTTGAATACAGAGGTTTAAAATGGATATATATTTTTTTTTTGCTTCAAATATCCCAAAATTAGTGAAAGGATTTTTTTTTTAAATTTCAACTTGAAAACAAATCTAGCCCGTAACAAGTTTCTCCTTTTATTTTTTTCTTCTTTTCACTTCAAAAATTCACGATCACACACTTGTTATATTTGACATATATGATGATGATATCGGTCATGATGATAGTTATCATGTTTATGTGACATATTGATATACATTTCGGGAAAAAAAAAAGATTTGATAAATAGATAGCCATTTCATCATCATCAAACATTCAACATGAATAACGGAAAATGCATTTGTGTCAATCAATCAATCAACAACATTTGGCCGTTCATTATTCTTTTTGAATTTATTTACATAATATCTGTTTTTTTTTTGTTTCGAACAAATATTGTGTGAAAAAACAGCAACAAATTCAACCGATGACCGAATCGGTTCATTCATCTTTTTTTTATTATTGACCATTTTCATTAACCTTGACCTTGTGTATAAGTTTCAAATTTTGAAAATTAAAAAAAATAACAACTTGGCTATAAAAGTACCAAATTTGTTTATTTTAGGATGTTAAAAAATTTGGGAGAACAAAAAGAAAATGAAGAAATTTCACATGTTTTTGTCTGTTTTTATTGTTTCATCATTTGAATAATTCGATTGTTGAAAATATGATTAACCTAAATCTAAAATTATTTCTTTTTTTTTTGGCAAATAATAATGATGATCATCATTTGGTTCTCAAACCAACCGAATTTTTTCATCGTTAGCAAATGAAGTAAATTTTCTACAACCAAACAAAAATCAAATAGAAATGAAGCATGAAGTTATTCCCGTGTGTTTGTATGTTACCTGTACGATGAATTTAATAATAATTACTATTATCATATAATCAATTCATAATCACATCATTATTATGAAAATGACTAATTAAATTTGTCAATGTCATTCATTTATGCGAATGTTAGTGTGATTGCAAAAACAAAAACAAAAAAGAGCAAACAGGTGCTGAAAATAACCAGAAAAAAAAGAAAAGAATAACTAAAAAGGATTAGCTAATTTGATGTTGACGATTCGAAACATTTTCTTTCTCTCTTTTCTTATACATTTTCATTTGCAATGGAAAATGAAACCGAAAATGTCGCAAACTTAAAACGCAATGTATGAAACGTTGAACATTTTGAAAAAAAAAGGATATTTCAATTTTCAATTCATAGTTTGTGTGTGTTTATATTCATTGATTCATATATGAATGTGTTTTTATTTTTATTGTTCCAGAAATTATTTTTCAACCGGATTTTTGCCTGTTCCGTTCAATGGAAAATTGAAAAAACAAATGGAAAACGGATGTAAATAGTAATAGGAGAAAAAAGCATTTGATGTTTGAGTACTTTTTGTTGTTGTTGTTGTTGTTGAAATATCTGGTCACATACCAAATAATGAAAAAAGAAAACAATCATATCAATCCTTGTAAGTAACATTGCATAGTGTAATATTTCATGGTTAACTTCATTATTTCATGTATGACAATGTTGCAGTTGAATTAATCTTCGAAAACAAAACAAAAAACTAACTGGCCAACAACGACAATGGATGATGATGATGATAAAAAAGTGTTAAAAAAGAAAACTTTCTTTTCATCATTTGTTTTGGATTACAATTTCCCCTTCGAGGAAAACAAAAGCAACATACATTTGAATTAGAAGAGACCTGATTTGTATGATCTTTTCACTATCAATCTGAATAATACAAAACAAACAAATCAAAGACATTTAATTATACCAATCTTGTTTTGTTTTTGTTTTTTGACAGGTACAATATCAGTAGTAGTATTAGTTAGTGATATTGACAAATGTTTTTCAAATGTTGTTTTTTTAAAAAAAATCAGAAAATGTGTGACACACATAGAACCGTTTATACTGAATGTTTTGTCATGCATAAAAATGGATTTTTTTAAGAAAAGAAAATTTTTTTCAGACAGAAACAAAAAATATCAATATTGAATATTAGTAAATTATCACTTATCATCTCTATGATCGGAAACATTGGAAAAATTGAATGAAAATATTCAAAAATTTGATACTAAAACACACATGAAAAAAAGGAAATGTAAATACGAAGGTGAAATAGATTTTCATGGAAAACAAAAAATACGAAACACTTACCTAACATCAGAAAAGGTGCAGCCAAATTGATTCCAATCATTTCGATACCACAATAAACACATAGGCCAAATGCACCAATAACAGCAATACCGGCCGATAAACAACCCATTAAACCAAGCCATGGTTTTGATCGTACCCAATCAAACATCATACATGTACCAATACTAAATATTAACATTATGGCTATTGTAATACTAAAAAATGGCACCAAACTATGTGTATTACTATCAAGTTCTTTTTGTAATGTTGTCGATATAAAACGTGAAACAATTATATGTTCAAATTGAATCGAAGCGGCAAAATCAAGAAATTTTTGTTCCCATAATTGGCCACGAATATCACCATTTTTTATTGTTGTATCAGCAAAATACATTAGATTAATACCTTTAGCCGATTCAATTATATTGTTAGCATCACGTTGTACACCACCAAGATAAGCGGGGAAAAAATATGCTTTATATGTTTCATGATTAACCCAAATAGGATATTTTAAAAAATATCTTCGTGCTTCAATATCATCAATTTTATTATCAAAATCCAATATATCATTATTGAAACATTTATATTCATGTTTGGCGCACAGATCACCATAACGATAAATTTGATCATCCCATTCGATTGTAAGATTTTTGATGGCACTATCCAGCTGTATTAGTTCATTCCAAACAGATCTTCTTAAAACTGAACCACCATCACGTGCTGTTATAATTAATCGTCCAAAACGACCTTTATGTGTTATGCGACCAAGATTAAAATTCTGTGTATAATTTATAGGGAAATATTCATCAATAATTGCACGTTCTAATTTAGAACGACCATCAGTTGGTGAGAATAAATATTCTGGATCATCTTCATAACGTAATCGTTGTAAACCGGTAGCTAATATACATGCTATGAAAAACGGTACAAGCACAAAATAACCAGGATATTTGCCAACGATGTAACCCAATTTTTGGAATACAATCGATAAGGCCGTATCAATACACATACAAGTCATGATTTTATGTTGAATTATTGTTTGATGATAATTTCACTTATTGATGATTAAATTCGATGATTGATTTTTTTCGAGGACCGAATTCGGTCCAAATTAGTCGAAAAGAAAACTAACCAATGTTGCGAGGTGGACTGGTGATGTTAATGATGATAAAAGTATTGTTTCACAGCCAAAACAAAACAAAACAAAACAAAAAAACCATTTGACCGACAAACAACAAACAAACAAACAAACAAACCAAAAACAATCACGACCCGTGTCTCCGCGTTTCAATGATGATCCAGACTATTTTTTGAATGCACTTTTAATTTTCACTTCTCAATCGATTTCTATTTTCTTGTTGTTTTTTTGTTTCACTATCTTCTTTTTTCTCTTTCTCTCGTTTTCGATTGATGATTTCTTGTTTTCTGTTTTTGCCATTCAAAACAAAAAAAAACGTTAATGTTGGTATTGATGATTGTAGCTCGACAATCATGCCATCATCATTGTCGTCATCGTTTTTCGTTGAAAATTGAATATTTAGAAAAAAAAGGCAAGGATGACCGCTATATTATGATGGAATGCGAACAAACCGTTATCCCGTGCGAAATTAATAATGTTTTTGTGTAAAAAAAAGAAGAAAATTTTCTATTTAATGAATGGAGAGAAATCGGTGACCAATGCATCAAGATTGCTACTGTCGATGTTGATATCGATAATGTTGTCTCTGTCGATGTTGTTTTATTTTATTTTATTTTTTTCATCACTACCACCACCATCACCATGAAAATAAAAACACATAGGATTTTTATATAATGATGATGATGGATTAATGTTGAACAAAAATGTAGATTTGCCGGTCCGGTCCGAAATGAATTTTATTTCAACTGAAATTTTTCTGTTTATCGCCTAGAAACAGGCTATAAAAACAGTAATTAGTTAGAAATGTAAAAAAAAAATCGGTCAGATTTTTAGTACGAAATAACCGAAACGGAAATTTAAATGAAAAATTTTTATGAAGGTGACTTTTTTTCTGTCCTGATGCGGACAAATCAGATTGATGGTCAGTGTCGCCACCGAGAAAAACTAGAAAAAATAACCGGTTTATGCATCAAATAAAATTCCGGTAATCATCACATATCACAGATTTTCAAATTAACAAAGCAAAGAAAAAGTTTCCCTTTTCAACTATTTATCAATTGAATTCACAAGAATTAAAGTTTTTTATTTGGATCAAAATCGCGACAAACACAAACGAAACCAAATCACCAACTAAAACCAGAAAAAATGCCAAATGAATTGAATGAAATGATTTCTTTCTTTTTCTTTTTTTTCTTATTTCAAAGCAACAGATTTTCTCTTTAGAGAATTGAATTCATTATTTTCTGTTCCTAGATTTTTTTTTTGTTGAAACTTTTGCATACAGGAACATTACTCACCTATATAGACAAATACATACAGAGAAATTGTTACAAACAGATCGACAGATACACAGAGAAAGAAAATTGAAATGTTGAAAAACGTTGTTTTGAAAGAAATCATGCGTGTTACAAAAAACATTACAATGAAATTTGAAAATGAAAATTTTTTGAACCAAAAACGAAGAAAAATATTTACAACAAATTAGTGATTTGCATTCGAGATTCTCTAAATTCTGTAAATTGTGCTCATAAACTTATTTATTACCAAGGTTGTCTGTATTCAATAATTACAAAATTCGGTTATAAACACGAATTGTAACTCGATGAAATTATGAAAAAAGCTTCATTTGAATCCATTTAACTTGATTTTTCATTAATTTTCTTATACAATTATGCATACGAAAAAACAAATTTCGTTTATTGTGTTTTATTATGCAGGTTGGCATCTCGGCCATTCTGTTTTTTCTGATCATAATATTTTATTGTTTGATGACCATCATCATTGAATTACAAATATGCGGATATATTATTTTTATAACAACAACAGCAAAAAAATGATGCATAATCTTGACATTTGAAACATTATTATCGATTTGAATGCTGCTTTCAATCATCATCATCATTATCAAAATTTTCGTTTCTTTTTGGAACAACAACAACAACAAATAGGCAATTGTCATTGCATGCATGTTATCTCAATGATGAAAATTGCCATCATTGAGTGAATGGATGGATGAAAAATGAAAACGAACGGAAAAAAGGATATTGAACACACACACACACAACATAAATCATCGAATCACTCAATTACCAAATGTATCAAATGGATAAAAGAAAAAATATCATTATTTTTATGATCGATTTGATGATGATGATGATGATAATAATGTTTCCGATAATCAATGATGATTCCTGTAAAAAAAAAGAAAAATAAAAATTTTAAATTTAGTTAAAACATTCGAATAATAATAATAATAATGATGTTATCACGAACATTGATTTTTGATTTTTGATTTTTTCCGTTCTTTGAAACAAAAGGTGATGGTAGAAAAAAAAACTATAAAATTTTTTAAATCAATTTTCATCATTCATTGATTACCGACAATACGGAAGTGTGCATGATCAATAATAATAAAAATCAATTTTCCGTTCGTTGATAATGTTGTTTACCAATGATGATGATATTGATGCAATGATCTATCTCGCTTTCCTTCAAACTATCTCAAATCAAAGATTTAAACGCCATCTTTTGTTTGATCTATTAACATTATTTATTTATTCATTTTTTTAATAAAAATTCAAAATTTAAAATTTCAATTTTTATAAATGTTCCCAAATTATTATTTTTTTTGACTAGAATTATCGATTAAAATCCATTCACCATCTGAACGTTGTGCAGAAGTATTTGTAGTAGTAGTAGTATCTTTTTTTCTCATCAATTCAAATAATTGTTTAGCAAATGATGAACGAATTTTTTGTAGATTAATTTTCTCTTTTGTTAAATGAATATAATGAGCCGAAGAATCTTCAATAAGTTCTGGATTGTTTAGTTTTTCATTCAATTCTTTGATACGATTTAACCAAAATTCATGTTCAGATTTCATTCGATATAATTTTAATGCTGATTTCCGATGATTTTCAAATATAACCATTGATTGACAATTTTGTACATCTGGTGTTGGTGGTACTAAATGTGAATGTAGAAACAAATAAGCATTAAAATATTGTATTAATTCTTGTATTTTTTCTTCAGAAATTTCTGCATTTTCTGGATTCAGATTTTCTTCAGCTAATACAATTTGAGCATCACTTGAATTCGAACGTTTATGACCAACATTTGGTTTCGGTAATCTTGGCATTAAACAATCATCAGAGAATATTGTATTGTTGGAAGAATTTGTACCAGTATTAACATTGGAAATATTAACTATTCTATATTCAAAATTTTCTTGTTTGATTGGAATGATTTCATCGTTTGCTTCATCCGGACATAAACTTAAAATTTTTTCCATAATTTTAACTATTTTTTCCATCGAAGGACGTTTCGAATGATCATAATCCCAACAATCGGTTATTAAACGACGTAAAATTTCTGGACAATCACGAAACATTGGTGGCCGTTCACCATTTTGTATGGCCCATAATGTTGCATAATTATTATCGAAATTTGTATAAGGTGCTTTACGTGATAATACTTCCCAAAGGATTATTCCCCAACTAAATACATCACATTTTTCGGTATATTTTTTCGATCGAAATACTTCTGGTGCCATCCAACAAGGTGTTCCTAAATTTATTGACATTGTATCTTGTTTTTCTCTTGCTGTACCAAAATCACAAATTTTTATTGTTCGACATTTATTTGTTAACAGTAAATTGGATGGTTTAAGATCACGATGAAGAATATTTAATGAATGTAGATAATGAACAGCACGAGCACATTGAAGGCACCAAGAAATGGCATGAGCCAATGTATATTTTACTATACTGTATGTATTATTTGCATGTAAAAAATTATAAAGATTACCACCATCAGCAAATTCAAGAATAAGACCATTTTTTTCCGTACTAACTGTATAACCAAAAACAGTGATAATATTTTCATGTTTAACAAGTGATAATTGTTCAGCTTCTTTGAAAAAATCATTATTTAGATGAAAATATTTGATAGCAACTTTTTGTTCTTTCCATGATGCTTCTTTTACAAAACCAAACGTACCAACACCAAGTACTTTTGTTACAATAAATTCTGATGGATCAATAAATGAAAGTTTTTTTGAGTTAAAGAATAAATCCTTGAATGATTGATGATTATCACCCGCTTCATTCATTGTTTGTAGGCAGCAATTTGAAAAAATTTGATGAAAAATAAATGGAATGATTTGATTTTGGATATTTAGGTATATCAGGTTGAAATTTTTATCATTCTTGTGATCATCAGAATAATCAAAAACAAGGCCACATCGATATCATCAACATCGAGTTATCAACAAAATGGCCAATTAAAAACAAGATCTAAATGAAAACCAAAACAAAACAAAACAAAAATGATGCGAATATAAAATGGAATGCGCGACATCTATCGAGAATAATAATTGCAAGAAATTGAAACTTGTTGAATTTTTTTCGAATGTTTATTTTTATTACCGAAAATTGTAATACTTTATTGAAAGAAAAATTGGTCCAATTTTTGTTTTTTATAAATATTCATCTAGCATCTCTAATCCTTTTACTGCAAAGAATAATAATTATAAAAAAAAATTTGTATTTTCATAGAAATTTTCACTTGAATAATAAATGCATTGTTTTTTTTGGAATGGAATGGAATGGTTCAAACTAAATGTCAAATTTTTTCATGTGGAAAAATAAGCAATTAGAAGATGGAGAAAAAAACTTTTAAAGTAGAAAAAAATTGTCGTTTTGTTTTGATTGGAATAGGTGGTGGTGGTGGTTTTGGAAATGTGAGATTTGAAATTTAATTTTTTGTTTTGTTTTGAAATATTTAGATTTGTTTTTTTTTTGAATTTTGCTTTCCAAGTTTTATAGTTGCTCTGTCAATTTTTTTTAAAAGCATTTACGATGAACAATTGATGGTCCTGATTCATCATATTCTTGTTTAGAAATCCACATCTGTTGGAATGTTGATAATGAAGCCAAAATTGAACCACCAATCCATACGGAATATTTTCGTTCTGGTGGAGCGATTATTTTAATTTTCATTGTTGATGGTGCCAATGCTGTAATTTCTCTTTGCATTCGATCGGCAATACCNGTCGTTTTGTTTTGATTGGAATAGGTGGTGGTGGTGGTTTTGGAAATGTGAGATTTGAAATTTAATTTTTTGTTTTGTTTTGAAATATTTAGATTTGTTTTTTTTTTGAATTTTGCTTTCCAAGTTTTATAGTTGCTCTGTCAATTTTTTTTAAAAGCATTTACGATGAACAATTGATGGTCCTGATTCATCATATTCTTGTTTAGAAATCCACATCTGTTGGAATG